TTTGTAGACTTTTAATGTAATAATTGTGATAATGAAATTTGCCGTTTGTTTTAAATCGCCGAACTTTTTTGTGAGATAGATTCTCTAATATGCCATTGATATACAATACAGTACAATCATAATAATAATATAACACGATAATAACAAAATATATTTTGTTATTATTTTATAATGGATGTAATTATCGTCTGTTGTAGGCTTTATCCGATATAACCCTCCCTCTCTTTACTATATTATCCATAGGAGTAGGCCATGTTTTTGGAATTATAAAACTATGTTTAGATGAAAAAAATATTTAAAATCGATGACAAAGATGCTGCGATAGTCCGTAAAATACATTAACTGCCTAAAAAGAATTACTATTACTAATCTAATAATTACAAATTACAATTTAAGCTTTAAATTGAGATTTTGCAAAAAATCACCTATACCCAACTCCTTAATAAATAGCAGTACGACGTCCCTTGAAACTTGTTTAAAATTGTATATTTTAGTAAAATGGTGGATACGATTTAAGGTTGGTCGTCTATCCTTTCTAATAATTCCTTGCCGTTGTTATTAATAGGCAAACCGACTACATCTAATACCTATTGAAAATACTTTTTGGGAAACCTACTGACTGTCGATTGAGCTAAAAATGATATTAAACTTGACATTGTAAAACAAAAAAACATTTTAACAGCTGCTACTCATTCAAAACCAAAATGTGTTTTTAAACTCGTAAGCGGTGATAAGAAATCAAAAACGAAATCTGTTGTAGAAGTAGTTTTTTCTTTCTACGTAGTACAAATAAAGCTTTTTTTTATAATTTTGCTAAAAGCTTTTTTTCAATTTTATGTAATTATAATATATGTTTATATTTTAATAAATTAAAAAACATCCAAAGTCTATTAATTATTAAAATATTATAAAATAGGATAATGGAAAAATATGATTACATTAAATGGAAAAGTCGCAACACTAAGTGTAATTTATTATTATATATTTTACATAGTAATGGTTATGGAGTAAGACCAAATCCTTGTTGTATATTTATACAGCCCCAACATATTTTTATAAAACAAACAAAACTTGGCATAGTAAACTTAAAATAGTTGAATTAAAATTAAAAAATCAAGTATCGAATTCCTGGTAGTATTTTCAATGTACTTATTCCATACAAATCTAAATCTACATAGATTTAGGGCAATTATTATTTTTTTTTTAAATTACAACACAAATGTTACCTATTTAGTCTGTCCAAATAACGAAGGTTTCGAACGAATTATTGTTTATAATATGAGTTTCAATGTTTGAATAGAAACGTTTTGTTGGAAATTCACAGTTAGTTTGCATAATTTGGAACTTACCAACTAAAAACAATGTTTCAACATAAATTAAACTTTGGGCGTTGGCTTTTTGGCTTTTCGACAGCATATACTTCATCGCGCCAATCTTACGGCTCTCGTTGAACATGCATTCAAATTATTTGACATTTCCTGCACACTATGTCAATGTTTTGACGTTTACGATCACCGCCAACACACAACAGATGCGTCGTCGTTATAGCCGAAACATTTTCTACTGCCAAATCTTTGCAGTAAGCAACACTAATGTAAAAATATATAGTAAACTTCAAATCGATCACACGACGATTATTATAATACATTTTATGAATGTGTTATAGTTTTATGTTTTGTATTAAACATTTTAAATAGAAAAACTTAAAAAATTAATAAAAAGTGGATGCTAAATGTACACCTACGATGAGTTTGTCCTTGTTAAATATTGTATTGTTAGTTAACTATTTTTAGAACCATTAAAAATAGACCGGTGAATCGAACTAGGTACTCTCAACCGCCGTTTGACGTATGCCAACAATGATTAAAATCAATAATCTGTTGTGTTGTGTAATCATAAATCTCACCTACTTGTTTTATAGATTATCCTTTTCCTGTACTTACTAGTCATGGCTTTTACAATTTTATTTTAGTAATAACATAACATGAAAATTGATTATCGATAATGTGCTATTAAATTTCAAAATTAAAAACATTAATGCATGCTTCGTGCAACCAGGACGCTATAGCATATTTTAATATATGGTCTAATGGTCATCATCCTTATTGAACAAATATTTTCACCCTCTACAAAAAAAAAACAATAGACTTTCCTCTGATCTGGTAGAGTAACACCGTCTGTGGAAAGAATAATAGAATATTGTACAACACATGTACTGTTGTTTTCAGCTCAGTGATCCGCGATCGCCAAGAATTGATTTAAGTATTTTTTTTCTTATAAATCTAGTGTCTAGTTCAATTCAGTTATTGGATACAATTGTTTTAAGCGAAATAAATTTGATAATCGGGCACTGACCAAGACGTTTCAAAAACGTACTCTACAATACATTATTTTTTGTTTTAATCTAAAAATTGTCTTGACTTTGCATAATAGGAATGTAATATGCGATAAATCCACATAGTTATCATAAAATAGAATAAATACGCACTTGATTTAGCTATATTCTAAAATTATAGCCAAATTTATATGTAATAAAACTAATAAATACTTAAAGATTGAACGATCGTATTGCATGAAAAACCACCACAAGCTGTGTTTCAAAATTTTTTTAACTTTTACAAAAGAAGCTTTAAATATTTGTATGGTTAATTTATACATACCACTTGGCATTTACGACACAATGATTGATTGATACTAAAAATACATAATATCCAATCGTTACTCGTTGCTTAAATAAGCTGAGCGGCCGTGTATATAGTTTGTTTTATTGTGAACGTGTAGTATAATGGGCGTTGGCAAGTGGATGTTATTGACTCATAGTTCTAAGTTTGTTTCTTATTGTTTATTGCTATTTAAAAATCCTAAAAAAATTGAGCTAGTTTCTTTACACACATTATTCGTTATTATGTTTTTATGGTGAATTTACGGTACTGATTTTGTGGTTTTCAGTTGCGAGTTGTTTATTTTCTTTTTGTTGCCAAAAGACCATATAATTACCTAGGCCTATACGATAATATTACATCTAGTATAAGTTTTATGGAAAAGTATAGATATCCGTGCACTCCAGCAATTGAATACAATACGGGCCCCACTTAAATACCACTACGTAGTTTATTGGTATATTTTTATGAAAGATGAATACATTTAAGCATAATTTAGCATTTTTACTTGGAAGTTGAAACTTTATTGAAGTGCAGGAAACCTTATTACAAATTACCTAGCAGAAGGACCTACCTTAGCTAACAATAATATATTCTTGGTAATAGTTCAATACAATATATTATATTTATTTTATACAATATACCACAAAAAAAAAAAATATATATATATATATTCAACTTTGCTACACAATTTGGGTTAGCGTCAAAACATCATTAAATCAGTGATACATTTGTCCAATTATATATTTTACAACAACATATTTTATCTCATATTTATACGGAAAATGATACAAAATATACATTTGTATTTTTGTATGTAATACATGCTATGTGTAGTTTGTTTGTATACTATATATGAATCACAACGCAAACACTAATAACAAAATAGTTTAAGTAAAAAAAAATGACAAAGGTAAATAAGTATATTTGATTCTTCCAATTCTTCCAAAAAGTTGATATTGAGTATAATGGAATATATTAATATCGGTAAACGAAAAATTCAGAGTTATTATGTATTTTTTATAATATTCATTATATTCATTCATATTTATTTATAGGACCATACCATAGGCCTTTATTCGGTACTAATATTCTTATGAAAAGTTCAAGCTCTCCTTCCAAAAAAATGTATAATGTAACTTTGGAAAATTATTATAATATCTTTTATGAAGAAAAGTGTTCCATTTAATCGCTTCTTATCTTCTGGATTAAATTAACGCTAATACAACTAAATTAAGTTAACTGTTAATTAAATTGTTTTTGAAGTGTTTTAGGGCCTATTACCTTACAGTTCTTAGTTTAGTTCTATGTATTTTACAATAGTAGCTAGAAGCATAATATGTGTCCGTCAATGGGAAAAGGATTTTTGAATATTTTTTTTATAGTCGATTAACTGCTGTTTACAATGGTGTCTTGATCACAGCGATATCTCGATCCGGTTAAAAGTTATGAAGTTTTCAAGTTGGAACTCCTAATAAGTTAGTTAGTAACTTTGGGTCTCCGGAACAATTTGCTTCGGGAAGATAAGGTACCTTTCGCATGGAAGGTCGCATACTATATTATGATCTAAATTCTATTATCGTTTGAATTCAAACGTTAGATACATTTTTTTATGAAACCGTATAAAAACCGAAACATAACAGTAACTTTAAGGATTTGGATAGTATGCAGTCAAGACGACTATTGCTCGATCATAACAACAGTAGTTTTATGCTTCAAACGGCCACTTTATCGTACGGTGCAAAATACAATGTTCGTGTTGCCGTGAATAAATTACATTACGGCCAATAGGCTGATGTTGTTTAGTTTGTAGAAGCGTTTTGAAATGGTACGCGTATATTATAATGCGGTACACAGAAGCCGCAAAAGCTTTACTGCATAATTAGATGTACTACTAAAAAACACATTTGGAAAGTCTTCCTTGTCCGGGAAGTCGACTGCTGCTGGTCAGATCGTCCTATAATTTAACCATTTCGTTTTAACGAAATTAAAAGACTTAAATAATCATAAGAGTTTATAAAGTTTAAGGAAGCAATGTCATAGAATAACCAGGCCCGAGACACTGATAAAAATTAACACGGGGAAGATACTATTATCACATAAAAACTAAGCGGCCATGTTCTAAACCGGCTATAGTTATAATTAATTACATCCATACATTATTATTTAAATAATAAGTTTCTGCTTAAATTGAAAGTATCCTTTGGAATAACCACACAAACGGTCATCGGAATCCTTTGCAACGTGCAAATATAGAATAATGAAAAGTCTGTACACTGCCCAATGTGCGAATAGTTAAAATCTAAAGAAACGATGTATTGTATTTCGGTTTAGACTCACCCTGTCGGATCGTTTCACATGTTGTCGCCGACTGACCAAGACAATAATATTTGTGGATAACGTAACGTTTCGGATCTGTTATCGGACGGCCGCGGGACGTTACGATCTCGACGACTTTTCAGTTTAGATACGATTTTTTTGCGTTGTATTCTATGAAAATATTTTTGTAAAAAAACGTTTGGGATTTGATTACATTTTTCAACGACAATTGGACGTCTCGCGCGTACGAGTCGCGGTCTCTGATCAACGCGCGGATCTTAGGGCAACGACTACCGCCGTGGCGTGACGACGCTGACACCCGAACTGATCGTGGAGAACGTACACGGTAGTGCCGCCGCCAACCGTCACGCGGCCGTTCGGGGTATACGCCGCCCCGAGCACGGTAAATTGCAACCAACTGGTATAGATTGACAATTACACCGGCCACAAGTACATTCCGACAATATCCATTAATGGGTAAATTGTGTATCAATTGTCACGGGAAAATATTTTTGAAGTGCCACCAAAATGGAAAAGAAAAAGTTACAGCCTGCTTAAAGCCTAACTGCTAAAATTATAAAACATGCAACATGCTTTAGCCTGCTGGATCCTGAATAGTGATTATTTCTGATCTATAATCTCCTTGCGATTTATGATGATAGTATAGTCTTAATTATATGTTCTGGCCAAACGTTTTTTAGTAGTTTTAGAATATTTGGCCTTAATCGATTTTACTGGCGACATTTATCAATATTTAACATTTCGGTCAATGTAATGTAACTTTATGCATGACGACGACGACTCGTTATTATTTTGATGGCATTTTATATGTTTAAAGTAGAAGCGCTACTTTAGCATCGCAATTTAATGTCGTTTTTGGGCAAGGTATCACATATTTTACTTTATTATATGAACCCCACTTACAGCTTACTCGTGTTAACAAAAGGATAAATAATTTATAGCAAATGTAGAGTACTGTTTAGGCGTTGGTGTATAAACTATACTTCACTAAGAAATTGAAGACACAATCAACACAAAACTTGTCACTAGTTGTAATACAAGGACATAATGAAAATGAACAATGATACAAATTCATAGTTTTAATTATACCTTCATGATAAATATTAAATACATTTTATTTTAAAACAATTATTGGTACCGTAGCGTGGGGCCACCTAGATAAACAAAGACAAGGATCTACGAGAAGACTCCCTCTTTCTATATGGCCCTATCCACCCCTGAACGATACTATAGTAACAAAGGAAACGCAGATTAATTGAGAGAAAACAACACATTCGTAACACGCGTGAGACGTGCCACGTTACAGCCGTTAGCGCCAGCGTACCGTATATAAAAGGATAGAAGAAAATTCGGAAGAAAAAATTCCAGAGTCAACGACAATAATTTAATTTTTTTTAAATACAAAAACATGTTTCAAAATATACGCATTTGAATTGGAGTGAACCAAAAACCATAAGTGGTTTTTATAAAATTTAACAAGAGAACGAATTAAAAATAATAATATTAATTATAAATTATTTTTCAGACATTAAACGTTGATATATTGATTTTTTGAGATTTTCTTGGTAAAACACATCTGACTAATATAGGACCAGACTAAATTACCACACTTAATAAAGAAATAAATTAAAAATACATCATTGTAATTTGTAAAACACAATATCTTCTTAGCTCTGCATCGAAGGTCAATAGATCTAAATGCCAAATACTGTAACATAAAATATGTCACTTTAACCTTTTGATAAAAAATATATCTTATTCATTAATTTTATTAGATATGTCGGATTATCCTTTCATTTAATGTTACTAATATTTGATCTTTTGTCAAATATACGCAATTTAAACATACTCTGACAACATTAAAAACTTTATGACACTTAATATTAAAAAAAGTACGATCATTTTGTACCATGTAGATATTATATACAACAAATATTTTATTACTTTAGCTATAATACTATATGAGAAATGGATAAACAAAACAAATCAAACGTTTATTGGACAATACTTTTTGTTTTTTTCTGGGTAATTTTATTTCCAGTAGATTTGATATATTTCCAAACGCGCAATAAAATCAATAATTATTTGTTGTGTAAAAGGATAATTTTTTTCTGAAAACCTTGTCGTAGCCTGTAAATTCTATTATTTTTTTGAAGATTATTTTAAGAACAGTAGTAACTTAAATAATTATGCTGTTAGATGTGGAACTATCGTAGTTTATAAACACGGAATAAATAATATAGATGGTCATTAATGTTCGTTATTATGTAAATATGTTATTATTTCTAAGCACATACTAAAATATAATTATCGAGTACTACAACTATATTCGGTATACCATTTTCCAGAAATTGGATTTCTCTGAAAGTTCGTTGTAGAATAGAGGGTATGTCCGTGGAACTTTTGCTCCTTTCCTTGGGGTAATCTTCTTAGTAGAAATTCGATTACATTGGAGAGGGTTTTTGATTTGACTGATATTGACGTAGACAGTGGGCTCGCGAGTACATAATTTATTTCTGACTATATAATATTATAATTTGGTAGAGTTAGCCAAATTTCGGATTTCCAAAATTATTACCATCCCAAATCCAAATACTTTAAAGCAGAACTTTTAAAATAGGTACAGATTTTTAATATATTTTTCATTATTCTAAAAATCCGCAAAATTATGATATCGTTTAATTCTGCATTTTTGGTCTGTACGAAAACTCGAAGGTCTAATAAAATGCTTAGCTATTATAAGCTGTTAGATACTCATGCATGAATTTGATCTTAGCAAAACAATATTTTCTTTAATTATGATAAATCCATAAGCTTAACATAAGCATAAACTTAGCAATGCCTTAACCCGATTCGTGATATTTTCTGTTAATATTATTATCAATATTTATCAAATTCAATTTACATTATTTTATATAACTACAACAACTGTTGATTAAAACCATTAATAATAAGATAGTTTTAACTTGTACTAAAACAAATTCACTATTCAGCTAAGATACAACCTTTAAAACAATATAAAATATTGTTCGAATGACTTTTTGGAACAAAACGTTTATATCGTGTTCCAGAAGGCGAACATTAACTTTTAAATGTTTTTTATTGACTTTTTTGCAAATTCAAAATTTATTAAGCTATTAGAAAATCATTTTAATCAACAATAGCTGTTACTAGTTATAAGAAATATTGTAAATATTAGTCTGGTATTTTTCTTCTAATCCCAGCTTTGAATTATAATTATATTTGATATTTATTAACGAGAAATCAATACTCTCATAGCTTCGTTTATAGTAATAATTAAAAACAAAAGGTAAAAAAAAATAGGACGTCTTGAACACTCACATCGTGTAGGCCTAAAGCAAACCCCCCAGGAAACTCATCAATTTCATATTATTTGGTGTGCGCGTCAGGTGTTATTTATGATACGAATAAATTATAACGCAACGGTTAGCATGGAATTATTGTTGATTTGTGAATTTGTATAGTCGTGAGAATAAAAAGCATAAATCACACACCTAAGTGGCAAATATATATGTATACATATATCATTTTCATGGAAATGTGTTAGGATATATTTTATGGATTTCTATCTTTTTGTGTATATTTTTTTAAGGAAATCAGACAAAAAGTTGCTTTACGATTCTCGTCGGCCATAATACATCAAACAACCTTTTATTTATACCCCCAGAATCATTTAAATTTAATGCGTATACAAATGACGAAGCTTTAACTAGAATAACTAAGAACTTTTTCTCTTTTTGTGAAAAATTATCGTTTATTTATTTTATTCGTTAAAACTTCAAACCTGTACATCAAATGCAATCAACCGAACATAATTTAAATTGATTTTATGAAAAAAAAAATTAATTTTACAAGCCAAAAGTTCTATCTATACATTTAAATGATTTATTATTAAAACGGTAAAACAATTGGAAAAGTATAATATTATATTTTACCGTTAGTGCTTGAAGTTTTTACACACAAATAAAAAAAAAAGCCATGATTCCCATGATTTTTGAAAAGGAATCATAAGAAGTTCATAGCATATATTTTATTTGTTAAGTTATAAAAGCACAAAAACAAAATTAAAATTAATTTATAGAATAGGGCTTAGGTTATTAAAAATAATACAAAAGCGTTTTCATTAAGTTGAAGAAAAATCACAGAAAATCAAAACATTTACTCTTGTGAAAATTATAGCATAAATTGATAAATCTGTTGATCCCAAGTATTTTTTTAACTAGTTTTGCGTTCAGAACATTAAGCGCGTATATTATACCTCGTCCTGACAACCAATATATTCGATTTATTTGTTCTATCTATGTTTAACGTTTTAAATTAAAATGTAATAGATAATTAGATAATAATTAACCGTAGTAGGTATATTGTGTACTTTACAATTGAGGAACGAGTAAATTAATAATTTTGTTTTTGTAAGTTACGAAGTTGAAATTGCTTAGTAAACATAATTTCTGATACATTTTTGGAATTATTTTTATAATTATATATTGGGAATTAAGACAGAACCAACAAAAAGGGCATTAGGTTGATATAGTCTTGACTTGATTATCATAATATTGTACCATAATTTAATTCTGAGTTGTATTTAAAGATTGAATATAGGTTACGAGACGTTTGTAGCTTTTCAGTTAAAATACAAATTTTCTCATTGAAAAGTTTTACTGGGTACACAAATAATTTAGATTTAATAATAATATTATAATATAAAACCAATTCAGAAGTATAATTGGCAAATATTTTCTTTGAATGTTCTTAGTTGCTTAAAAGGTTTCTTTTTCGCACGAATTTGCAAAAAAGGAAACAAATGGCAAAGAATTCAATTCATTACCATTTACCAAAGAAAATAATTGGTTGATTAAGAGCATTTCTTAACTAATTGCTGTATTTCATTAATTATTTGTAAGATTTTTAATAAACATTTTTTTAAAACGCTTAGATCGTTATATTTTAGGGTTAATGAAAACTTTTTTTTAGAAAAGCATAAATGTTTATTATTAAAATTAATAATTGTTTGAACAGCGTTGTTCAATGATGGTAAAAATAATTTTACTACCATTAGTAGAATAAAATATTTTTATTTCAAAATAGTTATCCTTTAAGACATACAATTCAAATTATGGTTAATTTAATATTGTCTATAGCAATATTTATTTTTAAATAGTAAACTGGAAAAAAAAATAATAGTAACAATAATAACCTAAATTATTGTGAATAGTGGACATTTCTACATAATAGTATTATAAAAATCACCACGCAGCTAAGTATATAATTAAAGCAGA